TGTGTGTGTGTGTGTCAATATATATATATAAGAATAAACACTAGCTATGTCAGTATGCCATTTATATGTAGGAAGATACATACTAACCATGTCATAATGTCATTTATCAGTGCTGATAATTTTCCGCGGATCCTGCGGACGTTAGCTTTTTTTGTTGATTCCAAAATATTACTATGTGTTACATTTTTGTAGTTAGTATTAGAGTTTTATGTTGAAATTTCGGGATTGCAACGGGGTCGGAATATTTTCCTCTTTTTTCGACTTTTTTCTCATTATCAGCACTGATTTATACGTGTGAAAACACATACCAGCTAGTGTCAGTAAGTCATTCAAATGTGTGAAGATATGTTGGAATCTGAGTCAGCAGCTATGTCGGTATATCGTATATCGTTGATATGTCAGCTGCTCAGCGGGTGGTGGACAGGTGTTCTGATGTGGTTTGCTCCTCATTTCATATGAAAGGTCTATCGTCCTTGTCTCTCCTCCTTTTTCTGTGTTTGCTACTCTCTCGTAACACTTCTAATCTTCGGCACTCATATGACCTTATTGTGTTACAAGTGCCGTAAAACTCTCACAAGAACTCTCTTGTAACACCTCTAATCTTGGGCACTCATATGACCTAATTTTATTGCAAGTGCTGTAGTAAAACTCTTACGAAGGAGAAGAAAAACACAACTGAAAAAGACACCGCCATATGCCATATTGACAAGTGACATATCACGGGGTGTTACACTGAGCAGTTGAATGTATTGTTGTTGAGGTTATTGGACCTGTGGGACTCAGTGTGTGGTCATGACCTGTCAGACGAGTGACGTGACCTGTCAGACGAGTGACGTGACCTGTCAGACGAGTGACATGACCTGTCAGACGAGTGACATGACCTGTCAGACGAGTGACATGACCTGTCAGACGAGTGACGTGACTGGTGGGGTGGGTGGCTGCTATATGTGAGGCATCGTGGTAGAATCAGGCGCTCGTCGAAATAATGAAATGAAAGAAATCGTCATTTTTCGACCAGTTTGGATTTTTTCTTCTTCGAATTTTTTTTTTTTTTAGCTCAACACCTTGTACATCCATTCAAAAACCATTATTTTGTGTGGTTTTTATGGAAAAAACGTTAATGAAAAGCACGAAAAATGTAACTTTTCACTTTCCAAGGACTCTTGAGCTATGGAGGTCACCATTCTTTGGCGGCCATTTTCTCGATAATTGTGCTTCTGAAACCAGACGACACCACCTCCTGCAATCGTAAATATTTTTACTTCTATTCTAGATGGATGGGTATTGTTTTTTTTTATTGAAAGAAAAATAAAACGAGTAAGCTTTCAGATGATTGCAATAACTCCACATGTCCAAAAATTGACGAGCGCCTGAGTTCACCTTGTCGTGACACATAAGCTCGGGTGTGGTTTGCGTCTTCTTTCCTATCAAACATCCATAGCTGCCAGCCGGTACATAAAAAACATAAAACAATCAAAAACGCATGTGATCGATTGGGAAAGGTTTGAGTATGGAGGTCTTGTTTTCATATTGTACGGACTCGCAACCGTAAGGTCGTGGGTTCGAATCCCGTCAAGGGCCGGACGTTGTGTCCTTGGGAAAGGCACTTTGCACAAATTTTCCTCACTTCACCCAGGTGGAAATGGGTACCCGGCTATAGACGGTGAAAGATCTTGTCAGTTTGTTAATGTTTGAGCGCGTGAAATCCGCAGCTTGCACTGTATGCTTCCGCGGAAGCTGAGAATGTTTCTGAGTGTTCTCAGAGGGTCTGCTGGGGTAATAATAGTTGTAAAGCGCATAGAGCATGCTCTTGAGCACGGATATGTGCTATATAAATGCAATTATTATTATATTGTATAATACATATTTTAAATTTTTTAGTATTGTTTCTCAAGACTGATTTTGAAGAGGAATTATGAACTTTCCAGGCTGGCTTTGGGAAAAGTAATGAGAACAGGGCCCATGAATCAGTCGGAGAGACTGTTACCAAACATTTATGACAGTCTTGTCGCAAGTTTACTTTGAACAGCATGGGTTTATTGAATGTAGAAAAGTGTTGGGTGTTGAGGGTTTGGAGGGAGGGAGGGAGGGTTACTTGTCCAGTGGCCACCGAATTGACCCGCCATGTGGGTAGTCTCAAGGGGGAGGGGGGGGGGGGTTAGAAAAGTTGGCAGCTATGTAATGTACATCTATCGTCCTTTTCTTTATTGTATGTTACTCTCTCGTAGCACTTCTGACCTGCACTTTCATAGCCTATTCTAATTGCAAGTGCTGTAAAACTCTTTTAACAAACTCTTTCTAAAACTTTTGTAAAAAATCTTTTGTCCTTATCTCTCCTCCTTTTTTCCCAGTAACACCTCTAATCTTCACCGCTTATGTGACCTAATTGTGTTCCAAGTGCTGTAAAACTCTTCCTTAAAAAGAAGTTCTCTAGCGTGGTTTGCTCCTTCTTACTTGTACATCTATCGTCCTTCTCTCTCCTCCTCCTTTTTTATGTACGGTACACCCCTCTGTTGTAACACCTCTAGTCTACGGCACTTGTATGACCTAATTGTGTTGGAAGTGCAGTAAAACACTCACTAAAACCAAACAAAAAACCAAAAGAAAAACCACAATCCTGATGAGTGACCATTGTGGTGGGCGTGTCCCCAGGGTGCGAGTGCGGGATATCAACGAGGCCTTCAAGGAGCTGGGTCAGATGGTGACTCTACACTGTAACTCTAGCCAGCCACTGACCAAACTGATGGTGCTGCAGCAGGCTGTCAACGTGATCACCTCGCTGGAGGGCCAAGTCAGAGGTGAGGGGAAGGGGAGGGAGGAGGGGAGGGAGGGAGAGGGAAGAGAGGGAGGGAGGGAGGGATGGTGACTCTACACTGTAACTCTAGCCAGCCAGTGACCAAACTGATGGTGCTACAGCAGGCTGTCAACGTGTTCACCTCGCTGGGGGGCTAAGTCAGGGGTGAGGAGGAGGGGAGGGGAGGGAGGAAGAGGTGAAGGGGGAGGGTAGGAGGGAGGAAGAGGGGAGGGAGGGAGAAGGAAGGGTAAAAATGTAATAACTCTAGCCATCCTCTGGCCAAACTGATGGTGTTGCTCATAACGTAAAGTTAACCTTTCAAATTGCCCTATTTTCTTGTTCAGACAGTTAACCTTGTAACTGCCGCAGAATTCAGTGCTCGGCTTTGTTTTGTAAGAATGTAAAGTTAAGACGAAAACTGCCCTATTTTCTCTTTCGGAAGAAAAAGTCAACCGTATCATTGCCATAGAATTCAGCTGTTTTTGTTTTTGTTTTAATAACTTTTATTAAGAAAAACCTAAAGTTATCCGTAACAACTGCCCTAGTATTCAACACTGTCTATTTCCTTGTGCCCCCAGAACGTAACCTGAACCCAAAAGCTGCGTGCCTGAAGAGGAGGGAGGAGGAGAAGACGGAGGAGCTCCCTGGGCGAGCCTCGCTGTCAGGGGAGGATATGTCTCAGCAGCCTGGTCTTCCCAACAAGGTGGGTGTCTAGTTGGCCGCTGAATAAGGCTGCAGCAGGTATTTTTAGGTTGTGTTTCCTAGTTGTGAAAGAAACTTTGGGTTTCGGTGTGGGTTAGGGTTGGGTGACATGTGTCGTTAATGGTTAACCTTAACCCGAATTATGGACGTGTGGAATACATTACACTACCTTAGGATTACAACGTTCTGTCTGCTTAGACGGTGTTGCCATCCAGATTTTTTGAGAGACTACTAAATTTGGGGAAAAAAATTCCACTAAATGGGACGAAAAAAACCTTAAATTTTTTAAAATATGCCTTATATATTACATATTTATTCTTTTTTTTTTTTAAACAGTAATAGCGGGTTCTTTATTTCTGACTAGTCAAACATATTCATATATAGGCCTAGTGTGGGATGTACATCTATGATTCTTGATAATATTTAGACAGGCCAGATTTTAGACTGTTCTTGGACTATAATCATCATTTTTGCATTTATTTATTTATTTATTTATTTTTGATTTATAACGTTTACCAAAAGATTGACAAAATTATTTAATCCATTTTATATGATTGTTGTAAGTAAAACAAATCAAAACAAAACCCACTAAATGTGCTGCAAAAAAAACTAAAAAACGAAATCGACCAAAAAACACTAAATTTAGTGGTAAAAAACTAAGAATGGCAACACTGCTTAGATCTAGTTCCTACTTTGGAGAAATTTGATGTTAAACATTTCTGAGTTGCACAAGATATCATGCTTTTGTGAATGCAAATGTTTGAATATCTTTATTTTAAAAAATCTGAATAATCTTACTGTTATGTAAGGGAAATAATAAGACCTGCTCGTGGTTCATTCCCTTAGCAGGACATTGGCTATTAAGTTGTTCCCCTTTGTAGAAACACTTCCATGCTGTTTGTTATGTCATTTTCATATCATGTGTCATGTTAGTATTTCATATTCTTTGCCACCGTTTACTTATTAGGCTGGTGTTGTATTATTCTATGTGAGAATGACTGAGACGGGTGAGTGTTTCTACGAAGGGGAACAACTTAATAGCCAATGTCCTGCTAAGGGAATGAACCACGAGCAGGTCGAATTATTTCCCTTACATAACACTTACGATTTTGATAGAGCAGATGGGACATTTGAACCCTGACCTCATGCTCACGACGGCCGAAAAATGTGAGACCTCTGATTGTGTTACAAGTGCCGTACCTCTCTTACAAAAACTTCTTTTTAAGAAAAATCATTTATGTTTCGTCTCCAGTGCCCACCTTCAGAGCCAGGGAAAGGTCCATGGCCGACCTGGTAGTGATGTCTTCAGCAGTCGTCGTCGTAGCAGCAGCAGCAGCAGCAAGTTGACACCCCCACCCCCCCACCAGCCAACCACCCGACAACGTTGACCACTGGCTTCCACAAAACTCCCTCCCATCTCCCCGGCCGGGCGGAGTTGACCCACGGAGAGAGAGAGAGAAAGAGAGAGAGGAGAGAGAAAAGGGTGTGGGGTAGGGAGAGATATAGAGAGAAAAAGAGAGAGACAAGACGGACCGAGAAAGAGGGGAGAAAAGGTTGTGGGGTTTAGGGAGAGAGATGGAGAGAAAGAGAGAGACAAGACAGACGGACAGAGAGAGAGAGGAGTGTAGAGACAGATAGACAGCTTAAGAACTCTTGACACCAGCTACTTTATGTGTTCCTTCTGATGTATCTCGTCAGAGACAGGCGGGGTGATTCCTTCCCTCCCCCTTTATTTTTCAATATTTTTTTTTTGCTATTGTCAAAGAGAGACGTGAAAGAAAAACCACCATTTTTAGATGCCTTTCCCCTTTACGTGCTGGGTAGGGGAATGGGTGGATGACGTTCCAAGAAATATTCTGGCTTTAGACTAGAGTATAATGAGGGATTTTTGTATACATGCCTCATGCCTTTCCCCAGTTGTCTGCTCAGGAGGTAGGATGGGGTGGGGGG